AATTTTCTTTGGGATTCTGTCTTTCACTGTTAGAATGTACATATGATTAAAGTTATAGATCGTTGCATTCTTTGTAAGTGAGCAAACCTGCAAAATCAGCAAGGGCTCAAATACTTTTTTCCTCCACTATCTATCTATCTATCTATCTATCTATCTATCTATCTATCTATCTATCTATCTATCTATCTATCTATCTATCTATCTATCTATCTATCTATCTATCTATCTATCTCTGCTCTTACCACAGTGAGGGCCGGTGTGTGATGGACAGCAGTGAGATTCCGGCGTCTTTCGCAGCCTGGAATATTTTCCCCTCCACGTCGATGCTAACGGCGCTGGTGCACTCGTCCAGGAGGGCGTATTTAGGCCTGAGAGCAGAAAAACCATCAGAACTTTACCCCTTTGCAAGACCCAAACACTAGCATGGTTTCAGCCCCCAAACCAGCTCCTGAGGGGAAAAGGGGTCTTCAAGGTTTTCCAGGAAAAGGAGCCCAAACTGATGGAGGGGGACCCCCTAATTATATATATAGTCTGAATTGTTTTCTATCAAACTGGTCCTATAATGTGTAAATGTACCTTGTTATTGGGCATTCAGTACTAAGATCCTCAAATAATACAGAATACACAATACAATAATAGAGAAAAAGGCAGAAAACAGCAGAAAAAGGCAGAAAAACAACAGAAAAAGAGCAGAAAAGGGCAGAAAAAGGTAGAAGAACAGCAGACAAAGGCAGAAAAAGAGCAGAAAAAGGCAGAAAACAGCAGAAAATCATCAGAAAGATAGAAAAAGGCAGAAAAAGTAGAAAATCAGAAGAAAAAGGCAGAAAAACAGCAGAAAAACATCAGGAAGAGGCAGAAAAAGGTAGAAAAACAGCAGACAAAGGCAGAAAAAGAGCAGAAAAAGGCAGAAAACAGCACAAAATCATCAGAAAGAGATAGAAAAAGGCAGAAAAAAGTAGAAAATCAGAAGAAAAAGGTAAACAAACAGCAGACGAAGGTAGAAAAAGGCAGAAAAACAGCAGAAAAAGGCAGAAAAACAACAGAAATAAACAGAAAAAGGCAGAAAACAGCCTAAAAACAGCCTGAAAATTGCTTAAAAACAGTGTGTAAATGTCCCTTGTTATTGGGCGTTCAGTACTAAGATCCTCAGATAATCCACAGGTTGATATCTTCCTGTTTCTACTGTAAACGTCTGGTTCTGGTTCCTGGTTGGTGGGACGGGTGTTGTGAATGAAACGGGGCCCATTTTAAAACAGGCTCCGCCCCCTCACCTCTGGTAGAACATGCGGGCCATCCCCATCCTCTGCTTCTCCCCCCCGGAGAGCACGTCCTTCCAGTCCAGCTCCGCATCCCAACCTGGAAAACAGTCACCGGTCTGAGGAGGAGGAGGAAACACCTCCTCTGGGAGGAGGAAATGTCTCCTCCTAAAGGAGGAAACGCCTTCTCCCAGAGGAGGAAACGTCTCCTTCCAGAGGAGGAAATGTCTCCTGTAGAGGGAGGAAACGCCTCCTCTGGGAGGAGGAACCAGAGGAGGAAACGCCTCCTCTGGAAGGAGGAAACGCCTCATTTGGAA